TTAAGATTTAATAAATTTAGAAACACGAGGTGGGCAAGCTTTCAAGGAGATTGGCACCGTATAGAGGATTGGGTCGTGTCGGATGATCGGTAATTGGTACAAGTTGTGGTACAATTATAGACACCCTCACACGCCCCTCATCGTTATGGGACATATGGAAAAACTGACGGATCATTATTTCTTGAGGGCCGCCCCAATTTGTGCAGATTACATGTCCCTTGTTAATGCAGCTTTGAAGCTTCTCATTACTGATCGTGGTTTAGTTGCGTGCTTTTGCACGCGTTTGGGGAATTTAAGGAAATCGTAGGTTCTTGTTAAATATCGTCTGGGTTAAAAAAAGGACGCGTAAGTACTGGAAATCTGTTTCAATTTTTATTCACAAAAAATGTTTGTCTTTGAATTTTTTTAGAGTATTTATTTACATTATAAAGATTTTATTCATAATTTTTTACTATTTATTTTTATTCATCAATAACAAAATAAGCAAATAATGTTCTTTATTTTTATTATGGTATATAAAAATTCAAGAATTCAAGGGAGTATTCAAGGGAGTGGTCCTTGGTTGATTTACTCCCAATGAAGAGATAGTTTGTTTACATAGTACATATTGAAAAACGAATAAACTTATTATTGACGATACCTGACAAATTATTATACAAAACTAACCTAAACTAAACTTATTATTAAATGGCAACAGCACCAAAGTTTGGACCGTCCCCATACAAAAGACGTAAAAAATGCCAAAAGCGTTTAAACACACAAAACAATAAAATTAAAAGAATCATGAAAACACATAAAATATTTTTCTTTCATGTATTCTACAAATTGCATTGATTCGCGGAAATCAAACCTAGATTTCAATCTCATTCAAAATACTGTGAATGAGATTGAACGCATCTTACAAAAATGTTTTCGTTTAAATTGACATTAATAAGTATTAACACTATTATCATTTTAAATCGCAGCACATAATCAAAATTTAACGCAAATTTACCACAACCCCCGTTATCCCAGTTTTGAATACAGATGCTCAAACGGTTCATTTCCATAGATTGTATCCAACAACGTAATTTCTCAAGTAAAACCCACTTTAGCATAAATTTGTTTGCTTTCAATTAATTTTTATTTATGAATCCACGCGGCGCCGCCATTAACTAAACGCGCAAACATTGTAACGTAGAGTTTGCACAAGTAATAACGACAAAAATGGCGGCAGCTCGTGCGAGGTTCATTAATTAGTTAATTAATTCCCCATAGAGCGCGGGTTAATCTCATTAAAACATCGGTGTTATTCCTCCGCGGATAATGAGATCTCAGACTCATGCGTAGCACTTCATTATTGGAAAGCTTATTTCACAGATTTCATCTAGCGTCCTCATAAGGTTGGGATCGCAATAATTAGGTTTGTACAGTATTAACACTGGGGGAATTGCTAACCCGTTTCTTTTTTAATTACTATGTGAATAAGTTATCAACTGCGCTTGCTTCTGGCGATGTAATTTATTTGCATAGAAATAGCTCGGGTATTAAACAAGAGATAAGAGATGTTTATGAGACTTGTGTATTGGGGTTTACATGAGGTGTATGCGGTTGGAAACTTTATACTGGTCTTGGAAAGGAGTTGGTGTTATTATTGGCTTTGGTAAGTAAAAGGTAGCATCCCATATTGAACCAGCTATAGTCAGCTGTCTAATGTTATTAGTGTGGAGGATCTAGTGATAGTGTTATAGGGTTGTACGTATATACTTGCGACCCAGGTTCAAATCCATCCAATCACCAAAGGAAGGTGTTTAAATACCTATGTGATAAAGCAAAGGACCCCGTGGTTTATAGCCTCCTTTTAAATTTTCCTCTATTTTCGACACTGTGTAAAAAACTTGGATAACGCATAAAAACATAAATTACAATACACCCTAGTCAAATTAGTTTTGATATCTTAGTTGACATTCTTTCATCCAACCCTGAACACATCATTATGGAGTGGAGGTGAAATATGGAATTGAAATGTGGGCAGACACATGATCAGTCTAGCGGGCGTGGAGCATAGTCTCCTGCTATGAAGCATGCAGTCAATTAGTGCATTCTTAGTTTTTTCTCTGGAGAAATGGTTGGTCTGCTTAACACATGTGAGTTTTTGTTTGTTGTCATTTCTTTTATTGAAGTCTCTTTTAACCTCGAGTTTGCTTGTCCGTCTGTGCGTGGAAGCAAGGGGTGAACCGGTAAAGTTCAAGAATGTACTTTGCTGAACGGCTTCGAGACGTGAACCAACAACATCGCTGCTTAGGTTTTACCGTTATGTCACTCCAATCTTTGAATTCAGCTTGGTGAAGAACGATTTGTTATACATATACATTTTTTGTAATTTATTATATTCACTCATGTTTACACTGCTGTACCTGAAGTCCTCAGTTTTCAGTTAACTTTAACCGTTGACTAGTAACGCCTGATACATATAATTCCCGAACTACAATTTCAGGAAACGTCTCATAGAGACAAAACACTCAACGGACTAGGTGCTTGACTGCGAATCCGCGTTACCTGCTGGACTAAATGAGCAGTGGCCACTTTGAAAGCAAGTACCATCAACTCGGCATAGAAGCTGGTGGTTACTGGTGCTCGGGGCTCTTTTACCCCCCCCCCCCCCCCCCACTTACCACCCCCGTGTGAACCCCTTACTTTGATCCCGCTTGTTGGGGTCCTGTATCATTGTTGTACTAATTAAACGCAAACACTCTCTGGCTGAAAGGGATTAGGATCACTGCATTCTTCTCTTGGACATTGTTTAGGGCATTAGTGCTTCGAGTTTCGATTCTTCCAATTGGATTTGTAGTTTTTTTGTGGTTAAGTGTCATTTAGGTTTTGGACTATATACATCGATGATGGGACTGTAGTGTTTGCAGCGTGGTAAAGTACATTTTATTGTTATATTGTATTTGTATGGTGAATTATGTCCAGAGAGCACCTGTGCTCTCTGATTATGTCCCACTTCTTGTTATGGAGTAAATAAGTACAAAGTTTTGACATGAGCTATAAGATAAACTACAACCACTGTTAGTTAGGGCGTTTTAGCCTAATACTGTATTGTGTTTACTGTAGTGCTGTAGTACTGTAGTGTGTACTATATTGTATTTGTATTGTGAATTATGTCCCACTTCTTGTTATAAAGTAAATAAGTGTAACGTTTTGACATGAGCTATAAGTTACAACTACTGATATTTAGGGCGTTTTAGCCTAGTAGTAAGCTCTCGGACTTCGGTGTGAGACAGGTTCAATTCCCGTCATATCTACAAAATTAGGTGTGGACCTCTTTTACTTAAAAACGTTTGTAGTTCCTTAACTTAAAATCCACTGGTGTACCTTATATGCACAATATTTATGATTGGACTTGTAGAGTTACATTTGTAAAATGCATTTTATGAAATGTTCGTGAAATCATCTATATATAACGATAACATTTTAAAATAAATAACCAAATTCAGCATCATCCAAATAACACTTCGGAATGTTTTGGTGTTTTCAAAATTATTTCACCATAGGGATGTTTTTGAAAAGTAATTTTCTAACCCTTAAAATTTATTACTGCATCTATTATTTTCTGTACATAAAAATTACACAGTTAAACTAAAACACCTTCCAAATAAACACACATTTATTAAGTTAACTAATAAAGGGGTTGACAGATTATTACCAAATATCCATTTTAATGGACTAAGTACTCCCCCTTTATCATACCCAGCGTGTGGGTAAGCCGGGAAATGGGTTTTAATAAAGGCAACAGTCTCCAGAAATTAGTTATATTAATGGGACCCTGTGAAATCCTTAGAGTGTATCGAGCATTACGGCACATTATCGCTTAAAGAGCCGCCGGCTTGACGGCACAAACACCACTATGGGAGGAAATCAATTTCACGCCAAACTGAGCTTTGTGTACTCATCCAATTGTCGGTACAGTCATTTCACGAGGAAACTGTCTTCACTAATGGATTTTGGATCGATCTTGAGCTTTTGTTTAGCCAACCTCTTGTTTGCCATCGATATAAGTGCTTCTCTGACTGCCCTCCGATCTGGGGGAATTAGAAATGGCTATCAAGACTGATGTTTCTTGATATTGCGAAAGTCAATAATTGGTATTTCAGAATTGTGATGTTATACTAATTAACTTCTTGATCAGCATTGTACGTGTTATTAAATTTACGGAAAGTAAATAAAGATACGTCTTTTAACACTTAAAACATATATTTACGCTTATACTGTTACTCACAAGACAGTAAATATACAAAAGATGGTAAGTGGTGATCGATTTCGATTGGACACTCCAATCATCATCAGACCCAATAGGCGAATCCACAGATATAGGTTGATCCACAGGTGAATAGGTTGATTCGCCTTTTGGGTCTGATGATGATTGGAGTGTCCAATCGAAATCGATCACCACTTACTATCTTTTGTATATTTACCGTCTTGTGAGTAACAGTATAAGCGTAAATATATGTTTTAAGTGTTATAAGACGTATCTTTATTTACTTTCAGTTATACTAATGTAAGATATTAAGCTGTAAAATGTATTGAATTCGGAACACACTGTGAATAACAATAACATAGAACTTTGCAAATTATAATAGAGCTCTGGGTATTTTATAGGACGTTTTTCTATGTTTATTAGTACCAGAAGACTATATGATGGACGCTATGGAATAACACGATTTAATCGGTTGGTTTCAAGTGAATTAAATTGTCAAGTCCGTTTACTAAGTGAGCAAATCAAAACTCTTGTGTAAATTGTTTTTCCATTTTATTATTATTATTTTATCAGGCTAATGTAGACCCGATTATGCTTGGTGTCGAGGAACATAATTATCATTTCTTGATGTATTGTGATATTGTAGTTATTTAAATGTAATATTGTGTTGTTCCTGTTAACTATTTCAGACTAATTTTGTGTATGTGAGTATATTTTAGATTATTTGCATAAAAGTAAATTGGTCAATTTTCTGTTTCAGGAATGAAGATGGAATCGAAAGGATGTACCCAAGACTGTGCGGGCTGCGGCAAAACGATCGCGGAAAGGCAAGTGGACATTTATTGAATGGTTATAGGCTTAAATTTGGTCGATACTTAACCTTCGGATACAATAATCTCAAAGCAACCACAGAGTCACTGATATACAAATTTGAAATGAAAATTATGTAAGGGCAACTTATTACCTCCAGCTTGCTTAGAAAACCTCTATTGCCGTGTAATGTTCTAGCATTTGACCAATAATTTGTCAAGTACATATTTGTATTAATATTTAAATTTATTTGTCATTGCTCAATACATTACAAAATGCTGTGATAGAGATAAAGAATCGACTCTAAGCCAACCTTACTCTGTATGCTACTATTGCACGGTCCTTTTTACTACACCCATGGTTTAAGTTGGATGCTTAATCACCAATCTTCCACCAATGCATTCCTCAACAATCTTCTTGGTTCTTCGTGTCTTTTCTCCTTCATACTAACCATGTACTCGTCCTCATACGCCTCTTCTCTCACCTAACACTGAAGCATAAGGATCATTGGGATCAGTTTTCTCATATTTCAATTTTCTTTCTTACCTTTCATGTTGCCCTCTCAGTTTCCTGGTATATTTTTCATTTACTCTCTTGCAGTATCATAGTACTTTTTACTTCCTACTTGCTTACACGTGTGAAATTCCTTACTGCCGATTTCTTCCATTCCTTTCTCGGCACCATGACTTCTCTCTTAGACATTCTTATATTTCACCTCAAGTTCCTATGGAGGAATATCAAAACATGGGTTTTGATTTCTCCTCAGTGTATCTTGTGTATCCTCAGTGTATCCTCCATACTGTTACTGTATCTTGTAGTTACTTCATGTTGTGATGTCATTGTCCAGGTACCTGCTGAAGGCTCTAGACATGTTCTGGCATGAAGACTGTCTCAAGTGTGTGGGTGTTGTGACTGTAGACTGGGCGAGGTCGGATCCACCCTCTACACTAGAGCCAACCTCATACTGTATCTTGTAGTTACTTCATGTTGTGATGGCATTGTCCAGGTACCTGCTGAAGGCTCTAGACATGTTCTGGCATGAAGACTGCCTCAAGTGTGGGTGTTGTGACTGTAGACTGGGCGAGGTCGGATCCACCCTCTACACTAGAGCCAACCTCATACTGTATCTTATAGTTACTTCATGTTGTGATGTCATTGTCCAGGTACCTGCTGAAGGCTCTAGAGATGTTCTGGCATGAAGACTGCCTCAAGTGTGGGTGTTGTGACTGTAGACTGGGCGAGGTCGGATCTACCCTCTACACTAGAGCCAACCTCATGCTGTATCTTGTAGTTACTTCATGTTGTCATGTCATTGTCCAGGTACCTGCTGAAGGCTCTAGACATGTTTTGGCATGAAGACTGTCTCAAGTGTGGGTGTTGTGACTGTAGACTGGGCGAAGTCGGATCCACCCTCTAGACTAGAGCCAACCTCATGCTGTATCTTGTAGTTACTTCATGATGTGATGTCATTGTCCAGGTACCTGCTGAACGCTCTAGACATGTTCTGGCATGAAGACTGTCTCAAGTGTGGGTGTTGTGACTGTAGACTGGGCGAAGTCGGATCCACCCTCTAGACTAGAGCCAACCTCATGCTGTATCTTGTAGTTACTTCATGATGTGATGTCATTGTCCAGGTACCTGCTGAAGGCTCTAGACATGTTTTGGCATGAAGACTGTCTCAAGTGTGGGTGTTGTGACTGTAGACTGGACGAAGTCGGATCTACCCTCTAGACTAGAGCCAACCTCATGCTGTATCTTGTAGTTACTTCATGATGTGATGTCATTGTCCAGGTACCTGCTGAAGGCTCTAGACATGTTCTGGCATGAAGACTGCCTCAAGTGTGGGTGTTGTGACTGTAGACTGGGCGAGGTCGGATCTACCCTTTACACTAGAGCCAACCTCATACTGTATCTTTTAGTTACTTCATGTTGTCATGTCATTGTCCAGGTACCTGCTGAAGGCTCTAGACATGTTCTGGCATGAAGACTGTCTCAAGTGTGGGTGTTGTGACTGTAGACTGGGCGAAGTCGGATCTACCCTCTACACTAGAGCCAACCTCATGCTGTATCTTGTAGTTACTTCATGTTGTGATGTCATTGTCCAGGTACCTGCTGAAGGCTCTAGACATGTTCTGGCATGAAGACTGCCTCAAGTGTGGATGTTGTGACTGTAGACTGGGCGAGGTCGGATATACCCTCTACACTAGAGCCAACCTCATACTGTATCTTGTAGTTACTTCATGTTGTGATGTCATTGTCCAGGTACCTGCTGAAGGCTCTTGACATGTTCTGGCATGAAGACTGTCTCAAGTGTGGGTGTTGTGACTGTAGACTGGGCGAGGTCGGATCTACCCTCTACACTAGAGCCAACCTCATACTGTATCTGGTAGTTACTTCATGTTGTGATGTCTTTGTCCAGGTACCTGCTGAAGGCTCTTGACATGTTCTGGCATGAAGACTGCCTCAAGTGTGGGTGTTGTGACTGTAGACTGGGCGAGGTCGGATCTACCCTCTACACTAGAGCCAACCTCATGCTGTATCTTGTGGTTACTTCATGTTGTGATGTCTTTGTCCAGGTACCTGCTGAAGGCTCTAGACATGTTCTGGCATGAAGACTGCCTCAAGTGTGGGTGTTGTGATTGTAGACTGGGCGAGGTCGGATCTACCCTCTACACTAGAGCCAACCTCATGCTGTATCTTGTAGTTACTTCATGTTGTGATGTCATTGTCCAGGTACCTGCTGAAGGCTCTAGAGATGTTCTGGCATGAAGACTGCCTCAAGTGTGGGTGTTGTGATTGTAGACTGGGCGAGGTCGGATCTACCCTCTACACTAGAGCCAACCTCATGCTGTATCTTGTAGTTACTTCATGTTGTGATGTCATTGTCCAGGTACCTGCTGAAGGCTCTAGACATGTTTTGGCATGAAGACTGCCTCAAGTGTGGGTGTTGTGACTGTAGACTGGGCGAGGTCGGATCCACCCTCTACACTAGAGCCAACCTCATGCTGTATCTTGTAGTTACTTCATGTTGTGATGTCATTGTCCAGGTACCTGCTGAAGGCTCTAGACATGTTCTGGCATGAAGACTGCCTCAAGTGTGGGTGTTGTGACTGTAGACTGGGCGAGGTCGGATCTACCCTCTACACTAGAGCCAACCTCATACTGTATCTTGTGGTTACTTCATGTTGTGATGTCATTGTCCAGGTACCTGCTGAAGGCTCTAGATATGTTCTGGCATGAAGACTGCCTCAAGTGTGGTTGTTGTGACTGTAGACTGGGCGAGTTAGGATCTACCCTCTACACTAGAGCCAACCTCATACTGTATCTTGTAGTTACTTCATGTTGTCATGTCATTGTCCAGGTACCTGCTGAAGGCTCTAGACATGTTCTGGCATGAAGACTGCCTCAAGTGTGTATGTTGTGACTGTAGACTGGGCGAGGTCGGATCCACCCTCTACACTAGAGCCAACCTCATGCTGTATCTTGTAGTTACTTCATGTTGTCATGTCATTGTCCAGGTACCTGCTGAAGGCTCTAGACATGTTCTGGCATGAAGACTGTCTCAAGTGTGGGTGTTGTGACTGTAGACTGGGCGAGGTCGGATCTACCCTCTACACTAGAGCCAACCTCATACTGTGCCGCAGGGACTACCTGAGGTACGTAGCTGAACATTAGCTTGATTAATAGCCTATTAAGGTACTGCATGATTAGCTTTTGCAATCAGAGGATCCTCTTAATCTTCATAATGAATTACCGGTTGTCGCAATTTTTGTGGCAATAATTATATCGGTTTTGATAACATGTACCATCAAAATTGTTTTAGGCAAATATTGTGACAACTTTCTTAATCGATATAGGAGTTTTAACACGATCCGGTTGCAGTTTTCCAGGACTCTTAATAGTGCATTTTTACTGTCAAACGCAACTAAATATACCTGTTTACTTATTACATTTAAAAATTTGACCTTGTTTGTTAATTAAAGGCGACATTCTATGATCCTTACTTACCCAGTAAAGTAATTAAGATAACTTATAACCTAGATACGGACTGTAATTCGTTGGCAACTGCCATACTGTCTTTGGCACCAGACGTTGCATGAAGTTTGTGTTTAATGTACTGAATAAATACCAATGTGTTCCAGTCAAGATTGTGGTCCGATTCTTGAGTCAAAGTCTTAAAAAATATAATGCAAGTATACGTGATTATACAAAATCTCACTAACATTTTAAGAAAATAAAAGGGGGTTTCCTTCATAAACTAAAACTTAAAAATTTCTTTGACTTTTAGTGACGCATGAATGAAAACGTACATAAAGTAAGTAAGTAATAAAAGTTACCAATTTTGGTTGTAATCAAAACTAAGGTCCTCTTGCAAAGTACGCTCAAAATCAACAAAGTATTGGTTTCAACTTAAATTATTATTCCAATTAACTTAAATATTTGCCTTATTTTATGTCTGTCCCAACATTCATAAAGTAACGTCTGTTTTATCCTTGATAAAATGTCCATAAAGCAAACTAGGCTTTTTTCTCTTATTCTCACGAGTATTTTATTCTGTTTTATTTCACAATACAAACGCAAATTCAAAACCCTTCATCCTCATTAGAACCCGCCAAGGGGAGACGGAAGGGTCCAGCTGATTAATTTGGCGGGAAAACGTAATTACAGTCAGCTGCTTAATGGCCGCCGCTTGTTTGATACAGAGGTATTGATGAGTTGCCTTAATTAGAGTTGCCAAGTCGGTGTAAACCGCCACATCGGCAATGGCGTACAATTTGTATCAATATTGCTCCATATTGCTTAATGAACGGCTCAAGTTCCCCTGGTCTCATTACTGGAGTGTACAGCTCCGACAACATTCAACATTCAGAGCTCTTCATCGACGATTCGTCTTTATTCAGAAAATTAACATTAATTGTGATCGAGGTTATGCCACACAAATGAGTTTGGAACTTATGATTTTAATGTTTACAAGTTCTCATTTGTAATTTGTATGTTTTTTTTTTTACTGGATCGAAATTAGGAGTCTTAGGTACAACTACAAACGTAGATCATGGTTCAATAGGTTAAAACAATGTTGGCAGCTTATACAGTAGTCTCATATAACTCTTTCACCGTGGAAGGTGTTTACCATTTTCTTTGGTGATTTTACGTTCAGACATGGTTTTGGTGTCTTTATTTAGGAAAATAACTAAAGATTTTCTCTATTTAGCTTTGCAAATCTTCAAAAGGGTAATCTATACAACAAATTTTGAAGTAATGATGCAACAATTGAAGTATTATGGTGGAGTACGTTTGCATTAAACTCTTGTAGAAGCTTATCCGTAAAGAATATAAAGAAGTGCTTTAATTTGTTGGATAGAAATTCCCGAGCTGAAAAGGCCAAAGATCTGAGGTACATATTCCATTATATTATTCCATTATATTATTCCATTATTACGGTAGTGTATCAGACAACCGCTGCTCTTTTCTACTATTAAAAGATCGCTATAAGACTTTTATTGCATCATGCTTGGAAGTCATCATATCTATTTAGTTGAAATGAAAAATAACTGTAAGTGTAAAAAAATGACACCACAACCATGTCTATAAGTGACACTGGTTTAGTCTGTATGTTTTTTAGAGTTAACTAGTGACTTGTAGGGGCACTGGCCCCTATAATATTCTAGTAATTATTTTGTACAAATTATTAGTCTCATGGGTTACCCTAACTTGAATAATTGTTTAACATTTTTATATATTATAGCCTAATATGTATGATAGTTATTACATAGCTGCATTAAGCATTTTGATGTCTGCTCTGTTTAAAATAAAAATTCCAAAGGACTGTTTATGCGGTGTGTTTATAATTTAAACTTTCTAATCGTAATACAACTAAAGAACATTTTCAATATTAATCTTTATGACTATTAATTAAATACATATAAATTTCGTTGAATATAGACAAATTCACTTCGAAAAAACACATAGAGATAAT